TACCACAAGGCTCAGTCCCAGACCTGGTGCTTTTTCAAAATTTTATTAATGACTTGGATAAAGTGCAGAGAATGCTTATCAAATCTGAAGAAGAAACAAAATTGGGTGGAATAGTTAATAACCTGGAAGACAGAAACATTCCAAAATATATTGATAGACTTGAGCATCGGGTTGAAAACAACAGAATGAAATTTAAAAGGAGCAAGTGCAATTTTCTACACCTAGGGAGAAAAAACAAACACACACACACAGAGATACAATATGAGGGATATTTGACCTGATAATACTGTGAGTCAGAAGGATCTTGGACGGATACATAGTTGGTTACATAATCGGACTCGGCGAGTGCTTGTCAATAGCTCCTTCTCCAACTTGGAGGAGGTAACCTCAAGTGGGATACCACAAGGCTCAGTCCCAGACCTGGTGCTTTTTAAAAATTTTATTAATGACTTGGATAAGGTGCAGAGAATGCTTATCAAATCTGAAGAAGAAACAAAATTGGGTGGAATAGTTAATAACCTGGAAGACAGAAACATTCCAAAATATATTGATAGACTTGAGCATCGGGTTGAAAACAACAGAATGAAATTTAAAAGGAGCAAGTGCAATTTTCTACACCTAGGGAGAAAAAACAAACACACACACACAGAGATACAATATGAGGGATATTTGACTCGATAATACTGTGAGTCAGAAGGATCTTGGAATTGTAGATCACAAGCTGAATATGAGCCAACAGTGCAATGTAGCTGCAAAAAAATTGCTGTTTTAGACTATATTTACAAAAAATATAATCTCCTAATCCTGTGAAGTATTAGCTCCCCTCTAGTCAGCACTGGTGAGGCCTCATGTTGACTATTGTGTCCCCTTCTGGACACTGTACTTCAAGGTGGATGCTGACAAACTAAAACAGATTCAGAGAAAGGCAAACAAGGATGATGAGGGGATTGAAAACCAACTTTTATGAGGAAAGACTGAAAGAACTGGGCTAAACATGCCTTGAGAAAAGATACAGGAGATACGATAGCACTCCTCAGATACTTGAAAGGTTGTCATACAGAGGAGTGGCAAGATCTGTTCTCAACCATCTTAGAGTGCAAGACACATAGTAATGGACTCAAGTCACAATAAGCCAGATTTTGGCTGAATATCAGGAAAAACTTCCTCTTAAAGCAGTATGACAGTGGGGCCAATTACCTTGGGAGGTGGTGAGTGCTCCAAGGCTGGAAGCATTGAAAAGAAAATGAGACATTCATCTGCCAGATATACTTTGATTTGTATTTCTGCATTAAGCAGGTGGTTGGACTTGATGGCCATTATTCTATATAATAATTTGCATTTCCTAGGTCTTCCAGGTTGCTGTAGCCTAAAGCGATCACTACAACCTTGAAAACATCTGCTGATCTAATTAAAAAGGCAAAATGTCATATAAAAATGGACAAATGTTGAACCTTCCATCCAATATTCCTCCAACAAATATTTCCCCTCCCGACTTAATATGGTATCATGTGAAGCAGATGTTGCTGATTTAACTGTCTGGTTTAGAATGACCCAAACACAGTTCAGATTTATTTTTTTAAAAGCATTTAGGGTTTTCTGTGGAGCAAGCATTCAAGATATAGGAGACCACCACAGGGAAATCTTGGATGTTTGCCAGAAGACAAGAGAAAAGGAAGTTTCAATATTTCTCTTTATGTCTGGACAGGTTATACGGACCCCTTTGAGGGAGGTTGTCTGCTGAGCGCATCCTGCCCAAAGAGCCTCCAATTCTGGGAGCCAGAACTGGAAATACCGGCAAGCTCAGAGTTGTCCCAGCTTCATGTGTGAGACAGTCCTGGGGATGTGAAGCGGCATTCACCTGCCTTCTTCGTACCTGTTGCTTCAGTCTTTTCACCTTTTGAATTTTTCAACCTTTCCCTTCAGCTAAATTTGAAGGGAAGGTCTTCCGGGCTGAGACCGGCCTTTCTCTCGTTTCGGCGCAACCCTGGAGAGCAAACGTGGCAGCATCTCCCCGAAGCAGGCGAGCCACTAGGAAAATCTGGGCAGGTAGAGGCCATCTCCAGGTTACCTTCGCCAGTCCCAAATTAGAGACAAGGCGGGG